GCTGCCGAACCGGAACGCCTGCCCGGGGGGAAGGCGAAGTCGTCGATGCCGGAGACGGAACCCATCGCACTAGTCGGCAAAAACTTGACGCTTCCCCTACCTGGCGCGCCAACTGTCGAAACAAGATTTCGGCAATACTAAAAGGGGGTGGCTATCAAGCTAGGAAAGTGGATGGGTTTGAAGACAAGGAATTTTATACAGGTTTAGGCCTTCTTATTCAAGAAGTAATACCCTACTCCTGTCCGGGGATGATTCCGCCGAGTGTATTATTGATTGTATATTCTGGGAAAAAGAAGTCGTCCCGAAAGGAACCTGGACCCCTCCTTATATAGGGGAAGGGGTCCGTATTACAAAATACAGTCCATATCCCTAACAGAATATGCGATTATAGATAAAATACAATCGTAACCGACTAGGATCTCGGGTATTTCCTTGACATACAAGTTAGAAACTAACCCGAGTCCTCATAAAGATATTCTATCAATATTTGGTACCACATACCCAACTAAACTAAAACTGCCGTGTAGATATGGGTTATCCATAATCTCCACAATATTTCTTTCAATAAATTTATCTTTCTGGGTGACTTAGAAGAGCTTTTTCACACCCCACTTCCTGAGCAAGGTATAGACCAATGGCAAATTCTGTCAAATCACATTCAGTCAACATTTCCCAATGGGAATCCTGATCAATGGAATTATGTGTGGAACCCAAATGTCTACAAATCCAAAAAGATGTATGATCTCTTCTTTTCGCATATCCATCCAGACATACCTCTCACCCTTATTTGGAAAAGCAAAGGCACAATGAAGATAAAGGTATTTTTATGGCTTCTCCTGATGGACAGATTAAACACCAAAGACATACTTCAGAGAAAGCATTTCAACACTCAGGGAGGGACCACTTGTAACATCTGCAACCTGACCATCACAAAAGACTACATCCATTTATTCTTCTCATGTTCTTTTGCCCAACAATGTTGGAACTATATTGGGATAAATTGGGATCTGTCACTAGACTTTATGAATATGATCATGACGGCAAGAAGGCTTTTCCCTCAACCTTTCTTTATGGAAGTATTAAGAATTGGATGCTGGCATATTTGGAACAGAATGTGCCTATCAGATTTTCAACAATGTGCCTATCAATTTCAGTAAATGGAAAGTGGACTTTAAAGAAGATTTTACTCGGCATATGCACAGAGTAAAAGTATCAGATAAACCCAGTTGGCAATCATGGATTAACATCATCAGCTAATTGTCTTGTTTTCTCATTTCTCTTCTCTTTATTTTCTTTCTCTTTTCTTTCTCCCTTGTGTATATTCTTCCTTTGTACATTATGTTCCTTTTTTTATATTAATATAGCATAGTAGGAGCCTCTCCTGCTGTTTAAACCGTCAAAAAAGATAAAACCAATCTGAATTGTAGATATGTCACGTCCTAAAAATCGCTTAAATTAATAATGCATATTTTAAATCAATTTTAGAAATTATTTCAAAAGCCTACAAGTTAAACTATAATAATCTAGGGAAAATTTCAACATAAAATTGAGCTAGATAAAATTTCATTAAATACTTTGCTTGTTTATCTATTTTCTAGATTTTTCTGGGAATTATTTGAGCAAGGGAAGTATTTTTAATAAATGAAATATCATTTCACAAATTATTTTAATTAAAAAAGTTTTAAAAACCCTCCCCTAAGCCGTTGGGCCGAATTAGGCCGAACATCCTCTCTCCCCGCGCGCGGCCGAGCGGCCCACGCCGGCCCATCCTGAGCCGCTGCCCCGCCCCCCCTCTCACAAGTCACCGACATGTGGGGCCCACATGTCGGATTCACCCCCAACCTCCAGCCGGCCGGCCGAGCAAGCCGAGCCCGAGCCGCTGCCTCTCTCCGCCAAATTCGCCCAAACCATTCGCGTTCGAGTCCGATTGGTTGAGGGGTTTTTATCCCCTTGTTGTCCTCTATCTTATCCCCCAAAAATCGGAGCTAATTGCTTCGTGATTTATCCGAATCAAACTCGTTTTCGAGTTTATCTCTCCAAAACTAAACCTAGATTTTCCCAGCTCGATTTCTCTCGGTTGGAGTCCGATCTCTCCAATCCAAGGCTATAAATAGCAACCCCTAGTCGTCCTCTTCCGTTTGCCTCTTGTCCCACGCGAAACAGTCGATCGTAGCGCCGCCACCGCGCCGCCCTAGCCGCCGCCGCCGCCGGCCGTCGTTCAGCCGCCTCGCACCGTCGCCGGTCGCCGGAACGCCGTCGCCGTCGCCGACCCGAGCCGCGCCGCCGTTAGAGCTCACCGCCGGCCGCTGTTCATTGTCGTCCGTCGTGTTTGCTAGTACCGGTGTGTTCGCGTCGTCGTTCTCTACGCGTAAGTGATGTAGCAACGGGGGTTCCCGATCTTTCGATGAGAGGAGGATAAACTTCGATTTGGGGAAGGATACGACGTTGGCGGTCCGACTACAACTACCACAGGGGTGCTGCGCCTTAGCAACCGGTACACCGACTCCACGTTGTTGCTGTTCTTGCCGTGCCAAGAACAACCTTGAACCTGCAAGCAATCGAAGAACAAGCAAGAACAAGTTGACAAGGAAACAGCTCACGGCACTTGTCAAATGATGAAATTTAAACAAACCAAAATGGGGTTCTGAATACAAGTATCCGGGTGGTCTAGCCGACACACGCGAGTACAAGGAAGTAGCTGCAGCTAAACTTACATCAAAACAAAACCCAAAGTGCAAAATGGTGGCTGCTAGGAGTTTATATAGGTGGAGGAATGACCAGGAGAGGAGGTGGGAGCAAACCCTAGGTTTTGTGGACCCCTAATGGGCTGTAATGATACAAGGCCCAAGCCCAAGTTTCTGATGTAAAGAACTATTTTCGTCATTCTGAGCAGCCTGGGTCAAACTTGATGGTGAGGCCACACATAGCTGAAGGTAGACGACGAGATCTTTCCAACAAGTACTCATTTGCCCCGTTTGCCCTCCGGAGTGAAGAGCATTGACTTCATCAAATCAGCGCTGCTAGTGCTGCTTGCGATTTGGTTCCTCTCCCATATTCCTAACAACAAGTAGATCACAACAACCATTTAGTAGCACCCAATTCTGAGAAGAACTTGTATGATTAGCTAGGAATGACTTTACCTGATAATTAAGTTCACGAGCTAGAGCTCTAGTCATTGGTCCTTGCTGTGCAATAGGCGTGGTTGTATCGTTGGAAGGGATGTCCTCATCATCCTCCCCTTCTTGCATTTGAGTCGTCCTCGACTCTAACTCATCTTCTTCTCCCAAATATGGCTTTAAATCTGCAATGTTAAACGTGGGGCTAACCCCAAAATCGGCAGGTAGCTCAAGCTTGTATGCATTGTCATTAATCTTTTGTAGCACTTTGAAAGGACCATCAGCTCTAGGTAGCAACTTAGATTTTCTCAAATTAGGGAACCTATCCTTTCTCAAATGCAACCAAACCAAATCACCAGGTTCAAAAGCAACATGTTTCTTTCCTTTGCTCCCAGCAAGTTTATACTTAATATTCATGCGCTCTATGTTCTCCTTAGTGGTCTCATGCAGTTTTAACATCAATTCAGCCCGATATTTTGCATCAAAGTTCACTCTCTCTGAAGTTGGGAGGGGCAAAAGATCAATTGGAGCACGGGGTAGAAGGCCATAAACAATCTCAAAAGGGCACTTCTTAGTAGTAGAATGTTGTGAACGATTATAAGCAAACTCAACATGAGGCAAACATTCTTCCCACATTTTAATATTCTTTTTCAAAACAGCCCTAAGCATTGTAGATAATGTTCTATTCACCACCTCAGTTTGTCCATCAGTTTGGGGGTGACATGTAGTAGAAAATAAAAAGTTTAGTCCCCAACTTAGCCCACAATGTTCTCCAAAAATGACTAAGGAATTTTGTATCGCGATCAGAAACTATGGTGTTTGGCACTCCATGCAAGCGAACAATCTCACGAAAGAACAAATCAGCAACATGTGTAGCATCTTCACTCTTATGACAAGGTATGAAATGCGCCATCTTAGAAAATCTATCTACAACAACAAAGATACTGTCCCTCCCCTTCTTTGTTCTAGGCAGCCCTAAAACAAAGTCCATAGAAATATCCTCCCAAGGCACACTAGGAACAGGCAAAGGCATATACAAACCATGAGGGTTAAGGCGTGACTTAGCTTTTTGGCATATTGTGCAGCGAGCAACGAACCTCTCCACGTCTCTCCTCATCTTAGGCCAAAAGAAATGATCAGCAAGGATATCCTCCGTCTTCTTCACACCAAGGTGTCCCATCAGCCCTCCACCATGCACTTCCTGCAATAATAGCATACGCACGGAGCTAGCTGGAATGCATAACTTATTAGCTCTAAACACAAACCCATTGGTGAGAACGAATTTGTTCCAAGTCCTTCCCTCCTTGCAATTCAACAACACATCTTTAAAATCATCATCGTGCGCATATTGCTCTTTTATTGTTTCTAAGCCAAAAATTTTGAAGTCAAGTTGGGATAGCATTGCGTAACGTCTAGACAAAGCATCAGCAATGACATTTTCTTTTCCCTTCTTATGTTTGATGACATATGGAAAAGATTCAATAAATTCAACCCATTTAGCATGCCTACGGTTAAGTTTTGCTTGACTTCGAATTTGTTTCAAAGATTCATGATCAGAGTGTATAACAAATTCTTTGGGCCATAAATAATGCTGCCATGTTTCCAATGTTCGCACTAGAGCAAACAATTCCTTATCATAAGTAGAATAATTCAAACTAGGCCCACTCAATTCTCGCTGAAATATGCTACAGGTTTGCCTTCTTGTAACAACACACCACCCAATCCAATCCCACTAGCATCACATTCAAGCTCAAAAGTTTTGTTGAAATCAGGAAGTTGGAGTAAAGGAGCGTGTGTTAACCTATCTTTCAAAGTGTCGAATGCATTCCTTTGTGCTGCAGCCCAAGTGAATGTGACATTTCTCTTGGTAAGCTCATGTAATGGGGCTGCAATGGTGCTAAAATCCTTCACAAAGCGGCGGTAGAACCCAGCAAGTCCTAGAAAGCTTCTCACTTGTGTGATCGTTGTTGGAACCGGCCAGCTATGTATGGCTTCAACCTTGGCTTGATCTACTTCAATTCCCTGCGGAGTCACAACATAGCCAAGAAAAGAGACTCGATCTGTGCAAAATGTGCACTTCTCAAGGTTACCAAATAAACGTGCATCTCGTAGAGCATCAAAAACAGCACGCAAATGACCATGATGATCCTCTATTGATCTGCTATATATGAGAATGTCATCAAAATATACCACCACAAATCTGCCAATGAAAGCACGTAAAACTTCATTCATTAATCTCATGAAAGTACTGGGTGCATTAGTGAGACCAAAGGGCATGACTAACCACTCATATAGGCCGAATTTAGTTTTAAAAGCTGTTTTCCATTCATCTCCTAAGTTCATGCGAATCTGGTGGTAACCACTACGCAAATCAATTTTAGAGAACACAAGTGAACCACTCAATTCATCAAGCATATCATCTAGCCTAGGGATAGGATGACGATATCTGATTGTGATGTTGTTAATTGCTCTACAATCCACACACATGCGCCGTGAGCCATCTTTCTTAGGAACTAAAAGCACGGGGACAGAACAAGGACTAAGAGACTCACGTACATACCCCTTGTCGAGTAACTCTTGCACTTGACGCTGAATCTCCTTTGTTTCCTCCGGGTTGGTCCTGTATGGCGCACGGTTTGGCAGAGAGGCCCCAGGAATGAGGTCAATTTGGTGCTCAATCCCTCGAATTGGTGGCAGCCCCGGTGGAACCTCCTTTGGGAAAATATCAGCATACTCCTGCAAAAGGTTAGTGACCGGAGGAGGCAAAGAAATAGGAGTATCCTCAATTGGAAATAAGGTTTCTTTGCAAACCAAAGCATAGCAAACAACAGTGTCAGTGTCAACTTCATCCAAATCTGATTTTGTTGCAATGAAACAAGATCCCTTCAGCTTAATCTCATTTTTATTATTTTGAACAGAGTTGGTGGGTTTCTTCTTATGCTTCTCAAGTTCATTAGCCGCAATAAGATGCTCACTCCTAGTATGCTCCTGATTTTTTTGTTTGCTAGCTCTAGCAAGTTCATCCTTTAAAATAACTTCAGGAGACATAGGATGTAACACAAGTTTTTTTCCATTATGCACAAAGGAGTATTGATTGGATTTGCCAAAGTGTAAAGAATCTTTATCAAACTGCCATGGCCTACCTAATAACATAGAACATGCTTGCATAGGCACAACATCACAGTTGATTGAATCATGATAAGAACCAATGGCAAAATGTACTCTTACCAATCGTGTTACCTTTACCTTGCCGCTGCTATTAAGCCATTGAATATAGTAGGGCTGCGGATGTGGCTGTGTGCTCAATGCAAGTTTCTCCACCATTTCAGCACTAGCCAAATTATTGCAGCTTCCTCCATCTATGATCACGCGGCAAGAGCGTTCCTTGATCACACACTTGGTTTGAAACAAGGTGTGGCGCTGATTCTGTTCAGCCCTTTCCATTTGTGCGCTTAGCACTCGCTGCACCACGAGGCTCTCATAGTGCTCTGCAGCTTCAGCCCTAATGAGTTCCTCATCTTGGTGGGGCGCGTCACCTTCCCCTGCATTGTTAGTTGCAAGCAAAGCATAGGTTTCTTCATCTAAATCATTAGCGGAGGAGTACCCACCATCAGCTCTCACGATCATTACACGAGTGCTTGGGCAGTCCTTGCGCACTTGACCATAGCCCTTGCAGCGTAGGCACTGAATATCTCTTGTCCTTCCTGATGAAGCTACTGATGATGAGCTCTTGGAAGGTGTAGCAGCAACCCCTCTTGTTGGTTCACTCGGGCATGGTGTAGAGTTTGTTGTAGAGGGACGCAGCTTGTTGCTTGAGGACGATGGTGCTGCTGCTCGAGTTGACGGTGCAGCAGCGTTGGAAGATGATGAACCCTGAGTTCCTCTCGACACTCAAGGCTGTTGTTGGCCCGATCTTTCGGTGAGTTGAGATAACTACGATTTGGGAGAAACGTTGACGATCCGACTACAACCGTACGAGACGTTGTGTTGCGCCTTAGCGATCGATACACCTCTCCGTGGGTTGTTGATCTTGCCGGTGCAGATCAACCCTATTCCTGCAAGCAAATCGAAGAAACAAGCAAGAACAAGATAAAAGCAATCTGATATTGCAAATAGGAATTTAATACAAATGATAAGTTGGGGTTCCGAAGAACAAGCAGACGGACGGTCTAGCCGACACGCGCGCTGCAAGCAAGTAGCAATGGCTAAACTTCAATCTATCAAAACCCCCAGAAACCCTGAAGGGGTACCTAACTACTTATAGAGGTGGGAGGACGACCAAGAGGGTCCAAGGGTCGTGCTCCACCAGATTGGGGCGCACCCCACATGGGCCCCACATGGGCCAGGGTCCCAAACAAAGTTACAAGCCCATTGGCCCAATACAGGAGACGCAGCACCTTGCTTTTGTGATTGCGGCCAAACGAGATAGATTTCCGAGATGAGGCTGGATCCGTTGGAAGGAGGACTTCGAGAGCTTTCCATCAAGTACTCACGGGCCCAAAACGGAGCACGTATGTAGATTTGGCGGCCGTTTGAAGTCAGCAATGTAACACGTGGCCGAATCAGATTGCAGCACATGAAGGACTTGATCTTGATGTCTTCTTGTTGATTCATGATGTGAGCAATGGTCGTATCCATAGTAGCCATGGTCACATCATCCTCCCCTTCTTCACAGAAAACCGTCCTCGGTTTTTCCATATGGTGCTCTTCGCGCAGTCCACTGAAAACAACCTGTTTCTTGCAATCAAAACAAGACAAACTCGAGACAATATGATTAGCAGTAACATGTCTCTCTAGCTTGCATATTTTATCCGGAACTACAAGATGTTCTAAATCTGAACAAATGTAAACTCTATGCACCAAAAATATTCCTCTATCATTATATTCGCCAAAGATATGAAAAATAGCATTAGTTGGACATGGCAAATCAGATTTAGCAAATAATTTCTCCTTCAAATTATCGAGCTCACCAAAATCATCAAACTGAAAATAGCCCAAAGTATTTAAAGAAGATAGCAATTCGCGTTCCTCTACTTCATTAGCAATGTGAACAACATGCTTAGAATCAGCACACAAAGAAATAGTAGAACTAACATGTTCATTCACTAGTTGTGGCATGGATATAAGTGAAACATTATCACACAACTCTTCTTTATCACAAGGAACAGCAAGTAAATCAACTTGTGACAAAGGCAACTCAGTAATTGATTCCACTAATGGTTGCTCTACTATAGCATGAAAAGTGGACAAGTGTAGCTCACCTTGAGAATACTCACCTTCATTTCTCTCAGCACCATTTAATTTACCTTGCGAACTTTCTTCAGATAATGTAGCTGCATCAGCCTTCTCCTCATTCGCGAGTGATGGAAGTGACATCTCAAACATATCGTTCTTCTCATTTTGGAGACTTTTCTGAACTTCCTGCAAAACATCAGTGATAGGAGGCACAAGCATATCTTGTTGCTCCATTGGATTCTCCAAAATTTTGCGCTCAACAATGCAAGCAAGCATGAACAATTGGCCTATATGATTATATGTCACATTAACAAGCCCAGCCTGAATATTGAAATTAAGCCCTCTGAAAAATCTAGTCATTGTGTTCTCATTAGATTCTTGTAAACCACTATAAGTGATACAAATTTTAAAATCATAAAAGTACTCCCTAACAGTTTTGTCACCTTGTTTTAGATGTTCCCATTTCTCAAGGAGAGCACGTCTATAGTATGAAAACACAAATCTTTTTCTCATCAGTATTTTGCATTCATCCCAAGTTTCAAGCTTATTCCCCACAGTATGCCACCAAAAAGATGCAGAACCGGTACACTTATTACTAGCAGCCTTAATCATTTGAGCATTAGAAAAATCATACTCATCAAATTGTTTTTCTACTGCTAGCTCCCAATTAATGTATGCAGCGGAATCATACTTTCCATCATAGACTGGTAACTTACATGCAACTTGTGCAAAATTATAGTCATGTACCTCATATGCATCACGTGAAGAAGTCGTCATATCTCGTCGAAGGTGTAGATGTTGACGTTGAGCATGACCATCTTGTTTCCCCTTGCGCAATCCTGCCATGGTTAGCAGCAAACAAGAAACATACACAAGAATATACACGCTCCTATCAACTACTAGGTACTGGCAGCTCAAATCTCACACACACTCAAGCTTTTAACCAAGCTCTTACAAGATCTTACCAATGCAAGTGGAATGGTGATGTACACCGACTCAACCAAGCACCCCAATAGAGGTTGGATATATCGATGCCTCGGCAAACACTTGCTGTACGGCTGCAATCAAATCTGTGGAGCTCTGGGTAGGCTTAAATATGTAGCAAAGGAATAGCAAATGCTCAAATCAGAGAACGCAAAGTTGAATAATTGTTCAAAGTCAAGTACCGTGCTGGTCCTAGGCTAGAACGTACTAGAGACGCGAGCCTAGACACAAACGGTACCACAAAATAGCACCAGAAACAACTCAAGCACACTCTGATGTATGAAGTTCAGCTCAAACAAAACAATATTTTCTCTTTTCTTTCTTTCTTCTTTCTTCTTTTCTTTTTTTTTTTCCTTTTCTTTTCTGATTTTTTTTGGTGCGGCTTTTTTTTTCTTTTATTTTTTGCACCTTTCTGCCTTTTTTTTTCTCACTTTTTTTTCTTATTTTTTTTAACAAAAACTGACTCAAGGACCTTAATGTAAGATTACAGGGACTCAAACATAAATATAAAATTTATAGGGACTCAAATGTAAAAGTCTAAACCCAAAATTAAAATTATACAAAAAATGGAATGCTGAATTTATGCCGGTTCCGTTTTTCCAAACAGATCTCGAAACCGACACCAAACAAAAATTTGCCAAGGTGTTTGACACAACTCGGAACGGTGGAAGAGAGGGAGGGAGTCGGACTCGGCCAAAGGGGCGAGTGGGACTCGGCCAGGAGGTGGAGTGGATGGCAGCCGAATTTGGTGTATGGGATAAAAAGGAAACTGATTTTTAACCAATCCAATCTACTATATCTTTCCAAAACAAACTTGACTACTTCCAAAATCAGATATGGTAATTCACCTTCCTCCTCTCGTGCACGACACAGGCACGGCCAAAATAAACACACACAAGGATCGGCAAACTCTAGATGCAACTCAAGAACTCCAAAACTAACCGACAGAAACTTCTGAAAACTACAAAAATAGAACCGTGGCAGCGAGCCGATTCCGTTTTCGTAGGTCCCGACAACAACAGAGACACGGTGGCAGCGACGACTGTGGTACAAAACGTGACCAGAACTCGAAACTCTAAACGAACTAGACGCTAAGACCAGCAACACGACGTGACAATGCAACACAAAATTCAACAAAGCAAAAACTGAAAAGAACAATGCAATGGCACAATATGGCTAGGTAAATGATACGAATTTTTTTTGTATGGCTATTTTCTGGTTATAGGAAGATAAAAACTCACCGAGCAACGAAAGCTCTGATACCACCTGATGAACCCTGAGTTCCTCTCGACACTCAAGGCTGTTGTTGGCCCGATCTTTCGGTGAGTTGAGATAACTACGATTTGGGAGAAACGTTGACGATCCGACTACAACCGTACGAGACGTTGTGTTGCGCCTTAGCGATCGATACACCTCTCCGTGGGTTGTTGATCTTGCCGGTGCAGATCAACCCTATTCCTGCAAGCAAATCGAAGAAACAAGCAAGAACAAGATAAAAGCAATCTGATATTGCAAATAGGAATTTAATACAAATGATAAGTTGGGGTTCCGAAGAACAAGCAGACGGACGGTCTAGCCGACACGCGCGCTGCAAGCAAGTAGCAATGGCTAAACTTCAATCTATCAAAACCCCCAGAAACCCTGAAGGGGTACCTAACTACTTATAGAGGTGGGAGGACGACCAAGAGGGTCCAAGGGTCGTGCTCCACCAGATTGGGGCGCACCCCACATGGGCCCCACATGGGCCAGGGTCCCAAACAAAGTTACAAGCCCATTGGCCCAATACAGGAGACGCAGCACCTTGCTTTTGTGATTGCGGCCAAACGAGATAGATTTCCGAGATGAGGCTGGATCCGTTGGAAGGAGGACTTCGAGAGCTTTCCATCAAGTACTCACGGGCCCAAAACGGAGCACGTATGTAGATTTGGCGGCCGTTTGAAGTCAGCAATGTAACACGTGGCCGAATCAGATTGCAGCACATGAAGGACTTGATCTTGATGTCTTCTTGTTGATTCATGATGTGAGCAATGGTCGTATCCATAGTAGCCATGGTCACATCAGAAGATGTCCAAGAGCTAGCACAACCTGCAGAAATGTTAGTCTTGAAGCTAGCTCTTCGTCCCTGTACTTCCCTTTCAGCTTTACAAGCAAGATGAAACAAACGATTAATTGAATTATATTCTTTGTAGGCTAGAATGTCCAGAATTTCTCGGTTCAGCCCACCCATGAATCTAGCCATACCAGCATCATCATTTTCTACCAATCCACAACGAAGCATTCCTGTTTGCAAAGCTTGATAATATTCCTCTACAGATTTGTTTCCCTGTCTAAGTTGTTGCAATTTGTGCAGCAAATCACGTGCATGATATGAAGGAACAAATCTAGCTCGCATGACTCTTTTCATTGCATCCCAGGTTTGGGGAGTGTTATTTGGATTGGAACGAACAAATTCACTCCACCAAATGGATGCAAAATCAGTGAACTCACTAGTAGCAGCCCTAACACGTTTATTCTCAGGAAAATCATGGCAAGCAAATTTCTGATCAATGGCTAACTCCCAAGTAAGATATGCATCAGGGTCATATTTTCCATCAAAGCAAGGAATGGTAAACTTGATCTTGCCTAAAGAATCATCATTATCACGTACCTCCCGCCGTGGTGGAGCGCCCATGCCATGGCGCTGCCGGCACTGTTGTCTTTGTGGACGACCAAGTACCTCCTCATCATGCTCAGTGTCAGCAGCGTACTCCAGTTCTTCCCTTGCTGCGATGCTGCTATTAGCATCATGGCCATTGTGGTTGCGCCTAGCCGATCCATCATGACCATCTTGGCCCATTCTCTCCAACGTATTCAAGATACCTGCAAGAGAAGTGTTCACAGCCACAAGGGACCTCTCCAATGAGGAAAGCTTGGAGTTGGTGTCAATTTGAGCAGCCTCCAATTGACCAAGGCGATCATTGGCGACCCTAACATCCTCATCAAGGCCTTCAGCATGCTCCCTCACTTGGCGCTCAAAATGTTGTATGATGCCCCTCGTACGTGGTGAATGTTGAGGGTGCTCCCCCGATCCTCCTGTCATGGTTAATGGGAAGAAACAATTCACAAGAAATATGTCCTATCAACTATTGGAGCTAGGTGTTGTCCATCTCCACTTCTACCAAACTTGTGCAAACGAGTTCTTACATGTTCTTACTTTGTTATGTAAAAGGCGTTGGCAAACAGCAAGAACAGCAACAACGGTTAGTAGTACCGGAGCCGACAACAAGCACGATCTTGTGATATAGTAGATAAAAATTTGTGGAGCTATAGGTGGCTACAAGTAATATCAAGGTACAGCTAGAACCACATTAATCAAAGCAAGTTGAATAATCATTCAACGATGGTATTGTGCTGGTCCTAGGCAAAACCCTTTAGAGACGCGAGCCTAGTCACAAGCGTAGCCACTCAAAATAGCACGAAAATAACACAAACAAAACAGCAACAACAACAACTTCCTCTCTTCCCTTCCTTTTTTTTTCTTCTCTTCACTTCTGATTTTTTTTTCTTTCTTTTTTTTTGTTTTCTTTCTTTTTTTTTTTGTACAGCAAGCTCAAAGCTTCAGCCAACAAGTCAAAACAAGCCTTAGCAAAATAACCTTTTCTCAAACATTTTCGAAATTTCACAAGCTTCAGCCAACAAATCAAAACAAGAAGTAATGATGGGTTGGTTGGCTAGTTACATGATTCAGCCAACAAGTCAAAAGTGAGAGCACTTAAATGCTTTCTTGGGAAGGGCTGATTCACTTCAAAAAGTTGCAAAAGGGTTGGCTGTTGGTGAAGGCAGCAATAAATGCATTTGGGGGTGGCTGATGTGGTGATGAGGGTGCTGCTGGTTGTGGTGGACGAAATTTGGTGGGGTTGGAGGTGGATTTCGTGGTGAATATGGTGGTGATGGTGGCAGCGGGATGAAGATAAATGAAGTGATGGTGCAAGTGTTTGCGGTGACGAAATCGTGAGCAGAACTCGAAACTCTAAAGGAGTAAACTACTAGAACCAGCAACTCAACCAATCGATGCAATCGAAAACTCAGCAAGCAAAGACTAAGTAGAACAGCAAAGGCTCAACATGTTTTGGTGATTTCGGGTCTGACCTATTTTAGTGGTTTTTCTTTTGGGCTGTAGGTAAAAACAAAGAAGTGATAAAATCTCTCACCGAGCAACTTGAGCTCTAATACCACTTGATGTAGCAACGGGGGTTCCCGATCTTTCGATGAGAGGAGGATAAACTTCGATTTGGGGAAGGATACGACGTTGGCGGTCCGACTACAACTACCACAGGGGTGCTGCGCCTTAGCAACCGGTACACCGACTCCACGTTGTTGCTGTTCTTGCCGTGCCAAGAACAACCTTGAACCTGCAAGCAATCGAAGAACAAGCAAGAATAAGTTGACAAGGAAACAGCTCACGGCACTTATCAAATGATGAAACTTAAACAAACCAAAATGGGGTTCTGAATACAAGTATCCGGGTGGTCTAGCCGACACACGCGAGTACAAGGAAGTAGCTGCAGCTAAACTTACATCAAAACAAAACCCAAAGTGCAAAATGGTGGCTGCTAGGAGTTTATATAGGTGGAGGAATGACTAGGAGAGGAGGTGGGAGCAAACCCTAGGTTTTGTGGACCCCTAATGGGCTGTAATGATACAAGGCCCAAGCCCAAGTTTCTGATGTAAAGAACTATTTTCGTCATTCTGAGCAGCCTGGGTCAAACTTGATGGTGAGGTCACACATAGCTGAAAGTAGACGACGAGATCTTTCCAACAAGTACTCATTTGCCCCGTTTGCCCTCCGGAGTGAAGAGCATTGACTTCATAAAATCAGCGCTGCTAGTGCTGCTTGCGATTTTGTTCCTCTCCCATATTCCTAACAACAAGTAGATCACAACAACCATTTAGTAGCACCCAATTCTGAGAAGAACTTGTATGATTAGCTAGGAATGACTTTACCTGATAATTAAGTTCACGAGCTCGAGCTCTAGTCATTGGTCCTTGCTGTGCAATAGGCGTGGTTGTATCGTTGGAAGGGATGTCCTCATCAGTAGGTGCCCTCCAATAGCTCGGCCGAGCCCCCTAGCACCGGTGGTTGTGCCGCCCAAGCAATGGTCGGCGATGATGACGTCATCATGACGTCATAATTCCTTTTCTTTTAGTTTTTCTTTATTAGATGCAAATCAATTAAACTTCGGAAATTCATAACTAATTCATCATAACTCCGATTCGAGTGGTTCAAGTTGCTAAATTTTTCTAAAATCGAGATCTACATGTTAAAAATATCCACATGTACTGTTTATGCTTGTTTTTGTACTGTTTTGTTGATTTTGTCTATTTGCTTTAGTTTCCGACGTTCCCGAGGAAAGCGCTTTCGTTGAGGAAGGTTTAGAAGTGTTTGCGGAAGCTCAAGGCAGGTCACACAGATCCTAAATGACCCTTTGAGCATGTTGAACCCATTTAAAGCTAATGTTTTATTTCAACTTATGCATTATTTTCGAATGTCATCGGGTGTTGAGCCTTTCCCAATTAAATAATGGCCGAAGATGACTTTATTTTCCTATGGGTTATAATTTGATTAGCTTGGACCTTATGTATTGGATTGGTTCAGCTAGATGCTATATGTATAATTGCTTAGCCATGCTTAGAAACATTAGCTCATTAATGGGATGAATCATACTACATTATTAATTATTGTTATATTTAATGGTAGCTCACGATGGTTAATCGTGTTATGTTAATTAATTGATAATAAAAACCTGATTAAAAGTGGGTTGTGAGCATATGGTTTTGATGGTTGTGCTCATGACAATTAAGGACCGGTTCGCGAGCTACTGTTGTGAAACATTTACCGTGCCAACCACAAGCCAGCGTTGGCAACGGCTTTATCTTTTGTATAGCATGATTCATTATGGTGTGCCAGACAATGAAGCGGCGAGAAGTCCGTGGGGGTCGCTGGGGAGTCCATTGCCTCTGGTTTTGAGGAGGAGATTATGATCCAGGAACGGTGCATTGTGGTGAGTTGTGTTGTGCGAGGGTTATTGTCACAGTTCCATTCCGAGGTAGCATGGTGGTGCTGAGGCGCATGGTGACATGTTGTGGGATTGCGTCTTGTGGGTACAGTGGTACACCTCTGATCAGAGTAAAATTATTCGAATAGCCGTGCCCGCGGTTATGGGTGAGTTAAACAATCGTGATTAGTCTCACAGTATTCATTAATGATGATTAATTTGACTCCTGGTTTGGAATGGTATATTCCTGGATTGGAAGTTTGATTTGTACAACCGGGGTTGGTTGTTCAGATGAGGTTGGGCCTATGCAACACGGATGTGTTGTATGGTGTTTATTTAATACTGCTTAATTATTCAACTGTTTCACTATTCTTTTAAATATTTATTAAGTGCTGTTTATGCAAATGAGCTTTATTATGCCATCCTTGGTTACCCTGTGCACTTGCATATTTGCTGTGTGGCTTGTTGAGTATGTCATATGCTCATTCTTGCAATATTCATTCTTCAGAGGAGGAGTACTTCAGTGAAGGTGATGATCTGGAGGACTAGGCTTGGTCCGGGTTAAGTTGCCTGTGGAGTTGAGTCGCCATAGCTGTTCCGTAGTTTGCTTTTATTTTCCGCTATGTAGAATTTTATTCTTTGAGAGGAACTATCTACCTCTGTAATGATTTAAAATTTTGCGAATATTAATTAGTTGTTTAAGAGTACTCTATTATCAATTTGTTATTGTGTGCCTCGGCTGATTCCTTGACGAGGGTTTAACACACATGTAAGCGTTTGGAATTTTGGATAGAAATTCCGGGCGTGACAAGATAGGAATAGAATACCAAAGATAAATTGGGGTTTCGTAATGAGCAAACCGGCGATCTAACCAATCACGGGATTACACGGCAAAGTAGCAAAACTAAACTTTAATCTAAACAAAACCCAAGAAACCCTGAAGGGGTACCTACCTATTTAAGGAGGTAGGAGGATGACCTAGGGGTTCCTAGGGTCGTGCTCCACCTGGTTGGGGCGCACCACACATGGGCCCCACTTGGGCTGGGGTCCCAAACTAAGTTACAAGCCCAAAGGCCCATGACAGGTGACGCAGTATTTTGTTTATGTGATTGCGGCCAAACAACATGGAATTTGGCGATGACGCTGGATCCGTTGGAAAGAGGGCTCTGAGAGCTCTCCATCAAGTATTCATGGGCCAAAAACGGAGGTCGTATGCAGATTCGGCGGCCGTTTCTTTTTATCATCTTGTTCATCCATGATGTGAGCAACGGTTGTATCTGTAGTAGCCGTGGTCACATCATCCTCCCCTTCTTCATGGAAAACCGTCCTCGGTTTTTCCAAATGGTGCTCATGGCATGGTCTGTTTAAAATAACCTGTTTCATCCAATAAAAACAAGAGAAACTCGAAGTAATATGATTAGAAATAACATGTCTCTCTAACTTGCAAGTTTTATCCACATCTGCAGGAAGTTCTAAATCTGAACATATGTAAACTCTATGTACAAAATATATTCCAACATCATTATATTCACCAAAGATATTAAAAATAACATTGGTTGGACATGGCAAATCCGGCTTAGCAATTAATTTCTCCTTCAAATTATCGAGCTCACAAAAATCATCAAACTGAACATAGCGCAAAGTATTTAAAGAAGATGTCAATTCTCGTTACTCTACTTCATTAGCAATGTGAACAACATGCTTAAAATCGGCACATAAAGAAACACTAGAAACAACATGTTCATTCACTAGTTGTGGCATGGATATAAGTGAAGCATTATCACACAACTCTTATTTATCACAAGGTACAACAAGTAAATCAACTTGTGACAAAGGCATCTCAGCAATTGGTTCCACTAATGGTTGCTCTATTATAGCATGAGAAGTGGACATGTATATAGCTCAGCTTGAGAATACTCACCTTCATTTTTCTCAGCACCATTTAATTTACCTTGCAAACTTTCTTCAGACATCGCAGGTACTTCATACTCCTCCTCTTTCTTCTCAAGAACAACATTCTCCTCCTTTTGTTGAATGTTCTGAACTCCCTGTAAAACGCTAGTAACAAGAGACACAAAAGATTGCTCCTCTCATGTTTGCACACCATCATTGCTTAAGGATGTAGGAGATTCTGAAACAAGAGATAAATCGCATTGTTCATGATTCCTCGCATTTGACATCTGACTTTCAATGCTACGAGCAAGCATGAATAGGTGTCCAATATAATTATATGTTACATTAGCAAGCAAAACCTGAATTTTAGAATTAAGCCCATTGAAAAATCTACGCATTGTGCCTTCATTGCACTCTTTTATATCATTGTAGATGACAAAAACTTTAAATTCATGGATGTACTCCCTAACAGTTCCATCATCTTGTTTCTGATGTTCTAATTTCTCACGAAGAGTACATTTGTAATAAGAACTCACAAAACGTTTTCTCATCTTGTTTTTGCATTCATCCCAAGTTACAGGTTTGTTACTAACATAACTCCACCAAAACAGAGCAGAAGAGGTAAACTTATTACTAGCAACCTTTATCATTTGAGCATCAGAAAAATCATATTGATCAAATTTATTATCTACTGCTAGCTCCCAATCAATATAAGCAACAAAATCATACTTCCCATCATAGAATGATAACATAGATTCTACTCGTGCAAAATTATAGTCGGATACCTAATATGCATTGCGTGGAGAAGTCGTCATATCTCGTCGAAGGTGAAGAAGCCGATGTTCTCGTATTCCCTTGCGCAATCCTGCCATGGTTAGTAGCAAACAAGAAACACACACAAGAATATGCACACTCCTATCAACTACTAGGTAGTGGCTGCTCAAATATCACACACACTCAAGCTTTTAACCTAGCTCTTACATGTTCTTACCAAAGCAAGCGGAATGTGACGTACACCGACTCAACCAAACACCCCAATGAAGGTTGGATGTATCGATGCCTTGGCAAACACTTGCTGTACGGCGGCAATCAAATCTGTGGAGCTCTAGGTAGGCTTAAATATGTAGCAAAGGAATAACAAATGCTCAAATCAGAGAATGCAAAGTTCAATAATGGTTCAAAGTCAAGTACCGTGCTGGTCCTAGGCTAGAACGTACTAGAGACGCGAGCCTAGACACAAATGGTACCACCAGATAGCACCAGAAATAACTCAAGCACAACTCTGATATATGAAAGCAATCTCAATGATAGCAAGCTGATTTTCTCTCTTTTCTTTCTTTCTTCTTTCTTTCTTTTTTTTTTTTGCTCTTTTCTCTCTTTTTTTTGGTGCGGCTTTTCTT